GTACGCAGGTTATGTGCGTAATCTGAAATGCGTACCGTCACTTGTGTCACAAAGCGCATTTGCGTACCGACATACTTGTGACGCTTTTCCAGAAGGCGGTTAGATCACCGGACGACAGAGTCGGTCTCCGTGTGCACAGACAGGGCTGCTGTTAACGTCGGTCTGTACAACGGAATTTTGCCAAAACTACGCCAACCGGCTGCGGAGGGAGACTCCCCCCCCCTTCACTGGAGAACTGCGCTAAAACAGCTGATCACAACGTTCACACTCTGTGGTCAAGAAGTACTCCACGAGCCGCCGCCCCCCCCCTCTGTCGACTTTCCTGAAGTACTCCCCCGTTGATAGAAATCAACACGTAATGAATTAAGACCCCACGGTTTGATGATTGATAGGTGTGTGGGTTGTCTTTCATTTTGACACGCAGAAAATGTTATAATAAACATAGATACTGTATGTTAAATGGATATATCCGCCTTCTTTCCATTCCCACAACAATATACATAAATAAATGGCATATTTTGGAAAATAGTTCAAATGGTGATTAATCATGATTAATTAATTTTTAAGCTGTGATTAATCTGATTAAAAATTGTAATCGTTTGACAGCCCTAGATATATTATGTCAACACATTTCACACAACTGTATTAGGTTAGCTGAAAGCAATAATATTAAGTTGAACCTAATATTTATTTAATATTAATATTATTGCTTTTAACTAAACAGTTATGTGATCGAATGTACTTATTGTAAGTCGCTTTGGACAAAAGCGTCAGCTAAATGCAATGTAATGTAATGTAATGTGAAATCTGTTGACGCAATACATTTAATTAAATTCAATGTTTGGGTTTTTTCAGTGTACATACTGTGCTTCATCACTGCTGAGATACAGATGTGTGTATGACAATAAGACCGGTCCTTATCACCAGTGCATCTCCTAGAAGCAACATTTAAATACAATTGCACCAATAAATGAAATGAACAGAGTGTTATTCTCCTGCTCATTATTACATTTTGGCATTAAAAAAAGCTTAGAACAAGGATCTTCTTCACATGAAGTTTAGGCATGTTTTGTTTTGCCCATAGAAACATTTCAAACAATAGTCTGTCCCTACCAGAAATCTGAAAGGCACCCCTTCATCCCTGCTCTCGGTCCTGCTGTATATTACGACTCTTCTTCTTTGGACTGAGGCTGCAACATTCAGGAACACAAACAGTGATCCCTCCGGAGCATTCCTGGCCCCTGCAGCATGGGCCTGCTGCTGGGGCTCCAGTCAGAGGCAGGAGGATCCTGACTGCTGGTGTCTGCACTCAGTTAGCCAGCATTACTCATCAGACTGCAGACAGAGCAGAGACTGATGCAGAATCCCATGACTTTTCCAAAACCTTGGGAAAAATATTGTTTTCCATAACTTTTCCAGGGCCTGGAATTTGCATTTTGAATTTCCATGACTTTTCCAGGTTTTAATGACCGTAAGAACCCTGGATTTTAAATAGTATTCCCCTTGTGATTCAGTCTACATTTCTCTGTAAAGCTTCTCTTTTTTTGTATGATATACTATAAGCAATACATCGTTCTATATAGTGGGCACGGCCTGTGTAACGAGTGGTTTATATGTTCACTTTATCCCATGTTGTGTTGATCTACATCCAACGTGGGATAAAGTGAACATGCTCTTTCATGTAGGCCACGCCCAGGTGGTATATGATCAAATTAGATACATTGGTGCATGATTGTATATGAGGAACAACATTGTTTTTAGCTTTAAACATTAAATATCTTCATTACAGTCGAATAGCTTCCCTTGTGACATCAAGCCTGGTGTACATAATATAATCCTCATGACTTAAATTAAATCAGCAAAACAGCAAGCTTTGTGTAAACATGTTTATTTAAAGATACATTTGGAGCTCCCTTCAGCATCGATTCATCTCCGAACTGAACTGTATACTTCTACTTGACAACTGGACAAGGGTAAGAGCCCGCTGCCCAGACCATACACAATGTAGTGCAGTGAGATAGGCATGTCATACACCAGGGGTGCCCAACCTTTTTTGAACCGAGAGCTACTTTTAAAGTTGCCAGTCTGCCGAGATCTACCAGTCCAAATAGAGAGGCGTAGCCATTACTGACAGCCTACTACCAGGTAAATACACACTTCTACTTGTATAAAACTGACCTTTGTACGATGAATACTTCATAAAATACTGCAGATCCTTTATCTTACCTCTTTCTAATCTACACACATACAAGTATTTAACTGAAGTTACACAACAGTGTTGTTGATACAGAGTTGGAGTTATTCACACGTCACATACTACAGTGGGTAATGTTTTCAAGAAACATTGAACAGTGCTGCCACATATGACACAGGGAAAAAAGAAAAGACTCTGAACCCTTTCTTTGCCATTATATACAAATAGTGTTGCTACAAAAGTATAAATGAGGCTTACTAATAAGACAACTCAGATCTGAAGCTACACAGTAATCTGCTGCAGCAACAGTGCAATACAAAAGACAACATTAATAGAATCAAACCCTTTTTTTGTTGCATTTTAGTAGATTATAAAAATAAATGCCTTTAAAATAGGATACAAGCAACACTAGTTTCTTAACCTGAATTGATAATAGACTATAATCAATTTAAGTTTGCATTCTTATACCGTTTTGTACAATAATTGTAATGAATAAGTTCAAACAAAGTAAAACTTACAGCTGATTAATAACGGTATCTAACTTGAGTTTTTATCAAAAACCTGTTGAAATGCTACTGTTATTGTTGTTGTTTACTGTCCCCAAAAGCGCGTCTGCAGCCTCCAGGAATGCTTCTTTCACAACTTCGCCATCTTTGAAAGACTTCATGTGTTTCGCAAGAACGTGACTGGCACGATAAGATGCTATGGTAGCAGCCTTGCTCTTGTTGTTGGGCCTGGTGGAAATGGACTGCTGTGCATTTAGCTGTGCTCTCAGGCCCCTCCCCTTTTGGAGCGTAGGGCAGAGTTAGGAGGGAGTTCCGTCTCGCAGCGTTTGTGCACTGTTTTGAAATGCCGCTCCTAAATTACCCTTCTTCGATAAAGCCACGCTCGCATTGCAGATGAGACAGATGGACTTTGAATTGGAATAGATACAAAAATAATCATCCTCCCACTCGGAGTGAAAATTATATATTTTGGGCTTTTTTGCTTCTGCCATAATTGCGGTCTTGTGTGTGTGCGGACTGTCACTCCTGTTGACACGGACAATGTCAGCGCACTAGTGCCCACCAGCCACGCCCACGACACATGGGGTCACGCCGGCCAATCACAAAGCTTTGATGCGTTCAAGTGCATTATTCTGGCACAGGAAGATTTTGTTATAGGACATTAACGATAAAACAGAATATTGTTGTTCTTTTTTTAGACACATCTCGCGATCGACTGGGAATCTCCCCGCGATCGACTGGTTGGGCACCCCAGTCATACACTCATGGGTGTTGCAATAAGTAGAGGATCCAGTCTTCAGTGTAGTTCATACTTCGCTGAGAGCAGCAGGAATGGATTATGAATATGTAGTGGTGCAGGAATAAGTCCTTAGACACGAAAATACGTTTGCATTTTAGCAATTTCCGGCTCAGATGCCTGAAAAACGGTCTGTGGTCTTCAAATATTTGTATGTTTTGAACAACATAACATTTGTTAGTGAACACCCCACACTTCAACTATTATGAAGGTGGTGTTAATATGTGAAGATTAACTGCTGAACAAGACGTGTGAGCATCATAAGTGTTTGTTTGCCAAAGATTTTAAGCAATATTCCAAGATTCTATGGGAAAATTCCATGACTTTTCTGTCAAGGGAGTCCTTCTGAAGCTAACTTCTGCTTTTCACTACACAAATAGGTCATCACTGCACCAGTCATTTGATTGAAGAAAGTTGTAAACAGGTTTTAAAGTGCAGCGTGGGAATATCACAGTCAACCAACAGCAGGGAGGCAGTCTGCAACAAAGTATGGGAAGACAAATGGCTCTATGAAAAAGCTCTCATTCTCTTTCTTTTTTTAAATACACTTAAAAAGGCATAAAACAATGTCTTATGACCGAGTTTGTAAAATACATGTCTTCATTTGAACACTAAGATTGTAACACTGTAAACGTGTAAACCTAATGTGTTTCAAATATTTTTGTATTATCCTTGATTACTAATAGTTTGTCAACCCTTATTTTTTTGATTATTAAGTATTGTTATGAATACATACAAAATAAAATTCACAGCAATACCAATACCAAACTGTAGATGTAGTGACCTACTGAGAGTGTATACAAAGCAAATGATATCAAAATATAAAACATGTGATATCATATATGGCTCACTAACTCACTTCACAACCAAGCACACACATTGACTGTCAGGAAACTGTCACACTACAAAGTACAAGTAGGATGAACACAGGATGATATAAGACTGGAGACAAAGTCAACAAAGCACTTCAAATACCAGACATGTCCAACAGCCTTGGAAATGTAATCCACTCCTCACACAGGAGAGGGAACATCTATATGTACTGCTACACAGAGCCCAGAGATGCAGTGTGGAGACCCGTTGGTAAACGCAGGTTGCACGTGTCAGGAGCTAGAGCAACACCAACAACACCTGAGTGCGTTCATGCGTGCGCGGGCTGGTGGTGCAATGCCAGACCCCCCCACCTCCAGCAGCTCAGCCATGGATGTATAACACCGAGGAATGTGTCTGTTGCCGGGCTGAGAGCTAGCTGCCACACCAACACCAACACCAACACCACCACACACACACCCGACCACCTCTTCAGAAACATGCTGCGGTAAATTACTGCCTCTAAGCTGCTGCATGTATGCCGAACAATAGCCATATTTTCGACATGACTGGAAATTAAGGAAAAAAAGAGTCCCGACTCCTGCGTATCGTCAGCGTCTCCAATAAGGTTTGAGTCCTTACAGGAGTGACAGGCAGGCAGGTTAGCATCACTAAGCTAGTTAGCCGTCCTTACCTGGGTCTCCAGCTCCAGAAAACAAAGGATGCTGCTGCGGTTTCTCCCCGTTAGATTGATGCGTCTCCTCGGCCTGACAGCATCCTGTTCCCAGCCAGCAGCACCCTGCCATACTCATGGCCAGACTGCACGGCAATCATACAGGCACTTCCGGTTATCACTTTCACAATAATTGCCTATTTGGGTCTAAAATGTGAAATCTATATTACGATAACTTCGCTGACGTCTATATGATTAATAGTTCATAATTGTAGTCAGAAAGCAGCCATGTTCTTTTCTATGTAAAAATACACTTTAATTTACAGTGAACACATTTTAGTTCAAAAAACGTGTTGTTGTTTCAGTACAAGAACCCACATCTTTGCACCTTAAACGAACTATATGACTAAAGTCAATTATGCTGAAATTAAAGGTTTTTAGGCCTATACTTTTTTATATTTACCTTCAATCAAGTTACAAATGTAGGCTATGCAAAGTAAAACATCTTATACAACATATCTTCGTCCTTGATACTCGGGCCGGGGTATTTAAATACAAACTATAGATAACTTACAGATATGTTTCACAGCATCAGTTGCCTCCAATGTAAACATAAAATCCTGTTTAAGGTTTAAATCCTGTATTTCCGGTTATAATTGCACTAATGCTAGCTACCTTGACGGACCTACCAGCGGCTCAGACTCTGCATGAGACAGATATGCGGCTGACCGGGAGAACAGAGGGAGGCTGACTCTCTTTACTGCATTTTACACAGATTAAAACAATCCACACTGTGATATATCGTTTTTAATAGGGTTTCCTTCAGTATATCCCTAGGACTCTGTATTATTTTAATTACATTTGAGTTAATCTAATTGTTAGATGGTCAGTTCCCCCCATTAAATATGAATGGAGAATGGAGCGGTCCAGTCGTTAAAGGGCCAGTGCGTGCTTGTCTTTGACAGCCCTTCAGACCACATTGACAGCTTCCCATTTATCCTAGCAAATAGGAAAAAACTTCCTATTCTAATTACTGGCTGAAAGGCACCTAATGCTAAAAGCTTTTATGTTGCTATTTCTTTTCATATTTTTAACCATGAATACCGTTTTGTCACCTATGTCATGATTTGGGAATAAGGACTAATAAAGAGATGTCTTATTTTAAATATGCTATTAAAATCAAACTTTATATGTTACATTTTTTTCACTTTTCCTCTGGGGTTCATTTTCATAGTATGTATTCTAATTAAAGGGTAGCCTTCTCCAGGTATAAAGTGTTATACTTCCACACAATTGCTGGAGTTGCAAGAGAAAGGTGAGGGAAAAAATGAGCCCTCTCTGACTCGTAAATGGCCACATACTCCAACCTTCACTCCATCAGTATGTAAAGCAGACCTTGACATTTCAAACCACATACAATCAGATGGATAGTTTTCAAAGTAAATGTGATCATGTGTGCCTCCTCTGGGAGTGGTGTGTGTTTCTGAACGCTAAATCAAAGAGGTAAGATGCTGCAAAGTAAAAATGTAACTGACTTCACACTCAGCCCTAAGATTCTACTGCTCTAGCAAGGAGCGAGAACATGGAGAGCAAGAGAAAGCAAGAGGGAGGGAAGGGAGTCACAACTAGATAAAGAGATGGAAAGGTTAAAAAACAGAACACTGGCTTTTTGTTGTTTTACGACTAATGGAAGCTAAATTAGATTTGCTAGACTCTCCAGTGATGTCTGCTTCATGTCTGTCCTTAAATGTCCATACAACCTTTAGAGCCTCTCCTCTGTCACATAACTTACAACCTGCCAGGCAGATATAGCTGCTAGAAATTCTGTCAAATGAAATGCAGGTTAAACTGAAATGGAGGTATTATAATTCATGAAGCAGCCTCTAGTCACTTTTGACTTGAACTGTACACGGTAAGAAGAGGCTACATGTAGGGATGCTTTGTTTTTCTAAAACTCTTATGTATGGCTGTATACGCCATAACTCTGCATTTAGTGAAATGCCTCAGAAATCAATTGAAAGCTTTCAGGTTTTACAAAAATATTGCAGGCAGGGTGCTCAAATGAATAAGAAAAGATGACCATGTTTATCCTGCTTACGCCTCCTTGCACTGGTTACTTGCATTCTGCCAGAAATCAAATTCTTTCTAAACCATGACCTTTTCCTGGGAAATCATTAACAGTAATGTTGCACATACTCACTGTGAGGAAAAATTGAGAAACATCATGTGACTGTACTCATAGACTTACAAGATTTGGTTGCCATTGGAAAAAACTGTTGTCCAAAATTGTCTCTGTTGATGTGGATGGAGAAATGTGTTACATTTCCTTTTTAGTTTGAGTCATATTTAGTCACCTTCATCCTGTTTTTATTTAGTCAAGTTTTAGTCGACTAAAAGTCTGAGCATTTTAGTCTTATTTTAGTTGACTAAAACAGCAAACATTTTAGTCAAGATTTAGTCGACTAAAAGTATGAGCATTTTAGTCTTATTTTAGTCAAAGCAAACTAATTATTTTAGTCTACTTTTTGTCAATGAAAACTGTTGAGTCTTTTTTAGTCATCAGATTATATAGAACATTTCAGTCAAACTAGCCAAAACCAATATTTTGTCATTTTAGTCAAACGTATTTCACAATAATATTATATCTTGTCCTTATTTGATGAAAAACACAGGTTGAATGATTAAGAAGCTTTGCATAGAGTATCTGGTCAGGTTTGTGGTGTTTTTACCAGCTGTGTTATGGCCACATTGCTTCCCTTCTGATGAAACAATACATTCGCTTTTTTTCTCCGCCTCATTGTACCGAAAATGGGCCCAAATATCACATCGTTTCTTTCTCCCAAGCAGTGGTGGCTTTAGACTTTTTCGTTGTCAGTCATTTTGACAGACAGGATCGTAACATTTCCGTCATAATCCATTATTATCCGTCGAGTGCACAATTTATCACTCACTCGCGCTGACCGGGGGGTATTCGGTTAACGCGAGTGCGACCACTGCTCCCAAGCCCTGTTGTTGCCATTTTATTTTCTGTTAAATAAGGTTAGTTAGACCATGAGTTAGACCCGAGTCTTCTTGACAGTTCATATTGTGCCGCTGCCCGGTCGGTGTAATTCAAATCTACCGCCGCGCGCCCCACAGACAGACAGCTGCTGCCCTGCCGCAGCGCCGGAAATGGAACTGCTTGGAGAAAACCTGACTATCAGAGATGTAACGTTATCTTTGATAATATTTTGTCTCCTCATTTTTCGTCAACGAAAGTAAAGAGAGATTTTGGCATAGTTTGTATTTAGTAAACTACATTTTCGTCTCGTCACTTTTCGTCAACGATATTGCATGATGATTTCGTTGCAGTTATTGTTTACTGCCGTCGGTGCCGTCTCGTCATCGTCTCGTTTTCGTCACGGAAAAAAAGGTCGTTGACGAACAAATCCCTCCCTCATCCGCCATAGTGGCGGCCTGCTTTCGCTTCCAAGCTGCACAGTCTGCTATCAAATGACCAGGGTTATGACAAAAGAAACAAGGCTTTTCTGGCTTGGGACCTGACACTGGAAAACTGGCACGGGGGACGTATGTGTCACAAGCTCTATGGTAAGAATCTCGCTGAGGGGGATCACGCTCTTGATGAGGGGATCATGCTAAGTGCAAACTCATCTGCCAGAGTGGCAGCCTGCTGAAGGGTAGATACTTTTTGCTCATTCAAATAGTCTACAGTACGCTCGGGTACACAGTTTTTAAACTCCTCCAACATCATTAGCTCACACATTGAGGTAATATCACCAGCTTTACAAGCTCTATACACCACCTGTCGAAGAGGATTTTCTTCTCCCTCGCGAAGTCCACATACGTCTGGCCAGGAGTTTTCTTCAGGCCGCGAAAGCGCTGCCTGTAGGCCTCAGGCACAAACTCATATGCCCTGAGAACAGCACCTTTAACCTTGTCATACACCAAACCATTCTCGACAGAAAGAGAAGAGCAGGCCTCCTGAGCCTTGCCGACTAGCTTGCACATATGGCCCACACATGTACACTTCTATACACTACTAAGCAAGGCAAGGCAAGGCAATTTTATTTATATAGCACTTTTCAGCACGTGGCGATTCAAAGTGCTTTACAGATTAAAAGCAAAAGACATTTAAGAACAAATACAGCATACATACATTATTAAAAAGGCATTTAAAAACAGGCATAAAAAGCAAAGGCAATGAAATAAATTAAGTAAATAAACACAGCAGCAGGTACAGAATACATGACTGAAAAGGCATACTGTCGTGTGAGTATGGGCAGCTCAATTAAAAGCAGCGGCAAATAGGTGCGTTTTTTGTCGAGATTTAAAAATAGGAAGTGTTTCGGCGGACATGCACGATTTAGGCAGTTTGTTCCAAATTGTTGGGGCATAATAACTAAACGCTGCTTTTCCATGTTTAGTGGTTATTCTCGGAACAGAGAGCAGACCCGACCCAGAAGACCTGAGACTCCTGGATGCGTCATAGTGATGGAGTAGGTCGTCTATATACCTCGGTCCTAAGCCATTTAGTGATTTAAAAACTAGCAGTAGTATTTTAAAATCAATTCTTTGGCGACTGGAAGCCAGTGTAATGTTCTCAGAACCGGAGTTATGTGATCAACTTTTCTAGTGTTAGTGAGTACTCGAGCAGCAGCGTTCTGAATCAGCTGCAGCTTTCTGATATATTTTTTAGTGAGCCCTGTGAATACACTATTGCAGTAGTCGAGTCTACTGAAAATAAAAGCATGAACAAGTTTTTCTAAATCCTGTTGCGACATTAGTTTTTTAATCCTTGATATATTCTTCAGGTGGTAGTATGCAGACCTAATAACTGTTGTAATGTGACTGTTAAAATTCAGGTCTGAGTCCATCACTACACCCAGATGTCTTGCTTTGTGAGTTACTTTGTAGTCTGCCGACTGAAGCTCTGTGATTACCTTTAATCGGTCCTTCTTTGCTCCAAAAACAATGATCTCAGTTTTTTGTTTGTTCAATTGGAAAAAGTTCTGAGTCATCCAGTCAGTGATGTGCTCAATGCACTTGCTCAGTGTTCTAATCAGAGAGTGGTCTCCCGGTGTAATTTTAAAAATAAATCTGGGTGTCGTCTGCATAGATGTGATAGCTTAGATCGCTCTTTTTAATAA